GCACGAGCGCAATTAAGTAAACCACTAGTTATATCGTTGAATGCCAAAAACCCTGAAGGAGAAACCCGCTGATGCAAGCAATTAAAGTAAAATTAGAAAATGAGATTGTTTTTACTTTAACGATGCATTTCATATATACATTTAGGATTAAAAATATAATTTTTGGTTGTATTTGTTTTTTGAATGATGGGTTATAACGGTAATAATAATAATAGTATCTTAAGGTAGATGAAAATGAATGAGTGGCTTGTCGCATTGTCAAGCAGTGTTGCTGCCCAGCTTGGATTGTGACTCAAAAAGGCAAAATGAAATACACGGACTGTTACTACGTACAAAAAATATGCTTTAAAATATATGGGGTTAATATGTAAGTCAGCATGATCTTGAACGATATTGCTGAAAAAATTGCTCAAGAGGAGCCTCGAATCTAAACTGACCAGTTCGACGTTTCGTATCTTCTCATAAAAAGGATCTTCGGGACTGATGTGATCACCGATTTCTTCATGTTCCAGCTTCAGAGCAGGAGACTTAGGTTGCTTGGATCGACACGAAGAATTAAAAGGACTGAAACGACGATATTTGGAGGTAGGCGAGGAGGAGAGGCAGCCACCATGTGCTGAAGTAGTATTGATTGAAGTGGTTGTGATCGAAGTGGTTGTGTTTACACTAGTCGTTATTGGTACGAAGCTAGGGTCACGATGAGAAGTGATAGCTATATGAGTGGAGGTCAAGGAACCAAGAAGGATTTGGGGTTTGAGGCCCACTGGAGATAGATGGGGTGCAGAGAGACCGGGGGAGCTAGGTGACGAAGAGACTGCTTGTGAATAGCCGGACCTCAAGGTATCGTTGACCTCTTTTTCGTCAAGAATGGTTAAGTGAGAAGGACATTCTTCAACTAGAAAATATTAAAAGTCATGGAATGATCAATCGGAGAAGAGGATAGTTAGAGTTAAATTATTAAATCATTAAATCGTAGATATGGAGGCCAACATGTTGTGGCCTCTGCCGCAACTTCCGCTGTATGGAAGTAATTTGACCTCGTTTTGGCAACTTGTTTGTGTTGTAATAGCGATCCCTGCTATAGTAGTTATGACAATTTTCAGCGTTGGACCGTGAACTTGCTACGTTCCAAGACGATTCGCCTGCATCGTGGTCGGCATCGTCAAAAAGTCTTACCAACGGAACAAGTGACTAGTCCTTTGTCGAACGGTTGTTATCAATCCTTTTTTCCTGGCTCATCTACCTAATCCCTATTCTCCTACCTCACTCCTATCTAGACTTCTGACTTGATTGCATTCAACTTCTCTAAAAATGCGCCATTTGGTGTGAAAATAATGAGGCGTTATCACATGTTTGTGAAATTATGTTAAGGAGGGAGTGAGATATGAGAACAGTATGTAGGCAAATGCATCCAGACGGAAGTGATAACACAGCCGATAGGCAGAAGGTTGGTCAAAAGATTGAATTCACTTTCCTTTTTGACAAGCTTGGTGTTAAGAATGGAAACACTAATTGAACATGCATATAATGGTAACGGCGAAATGTCTGAAAATGTACCAAGGTAATGGTCCGACGCTTGGAATTATCATAGCTACCATAGGAGATGATTTTGGACAAGCTGTCAAACTAGGTAACCCCAAAACAAGACAAATCATTTTTAATATGGCTTAAATTGTGCGAAACAGTTTTATATAGACCACTTAAAATCAATGTAAGGTAAATCAAATGGAAAATGGATGGTGCAAGGATAATGTAATCTACCGCATAGGAAAAATGAATTTAAATTTTACAATTCAAATAATGTAAATTTGAAAAATATAAATACAGAAAATGCATCTGGTAGAATTCAAAGGCCATAAAAATAATCTAAGATTTTTTGCTTAGACATGATTAATTAAATAACTTGTCCATGAGTTTAATTAACTTGATAAAGTCCCAACAATGAAATTCCTCTTGTTGATGCGACGTTTAAGTGTTTTATTTGAGGGTTTACAAAATAATCTGATCGGTAATGAATAATAATAGCAAATAATGCAAATTCAGAGATATTACAGGCAAAATACCAGGATAGTTTAAAAAGCAAGCAAATTCTGTAAAATCATGTAAAATAAATTATAACATTTAATAAAGTAACAAACACTCAGAATATATTGAGTAACTATAGTTGTCAATTTTAGTATGAAAATTGTAAAATATTCAGAAGATATGTAGGCGAGTTCGTATCCTGGTGCGGAGAATGGCAAGGCTTACTGATGATGCCGACTACGAGGCCGGCGAAACGTTTGAGAATGTATC